TTCACAAAATTTATTGCAAATAAATCCCTCACATATTGGACTAATTTTGAAAGAACATAAACGGTCACCGAACTTTTAAAGTTATTTCAATTAAGTCATAAATTGCTTATCCATTAGCTAGTCGATTCAACAAAAAAAAACTTGTTTGTCTTCCTTATGTTGATAAAGACAAACTATTCCTTAAATTTTTCGAGACAAGGAATTAGGAAAAATAAATGTCACTAACTTCAAGTTTATCACTGATCACGGGACAACCACCCCCACATAGTCACACACCATGGCGATATGAAGCGATTTGCCCATGTAAAAAAATTCTTTTCCTTTTCATTTGGAAGTCACGAACTATTTTTTTCAACTATTTTGGAAGAAGAAATGATATTCATATTCAGCTACTAAAGTAGTCATCTCATGTAACAGTTTGTTATTTGAGACATTAATTTCTTGTAATTATGTTGTCTCGAATAACAAGTTAATGCCTCAAATAGTAAGTCGCCACATATAATGAATACTGCGATCACCAATTACGAATAATGTTATTTTTTTGGAAGGAAAAATAGTAAGCTCGTGTTGGAAACATTATCAATTTCTAAAAAGTTATTTCTACTATTCAATCAATGTCAAACTTTAGAGTGTGTTTAGTATGGATTTTTTGGGGAATAATTGATTTTTGAATAGTGATATGATGAGAAATGTGTTGTTGAAAAAGAAGAAAAAAGTATTGATGTGATGGAAAATATTATTTTATTGAAGAATGTGTAGTTGAAAATGAGTAGAAGNGGAAGAATTGATTTTGAATAGTGATGTGATGTGAAATGTGTGGTTGAAAAAGAAGAAAAAATTATTGATGTGATGGAAAATATTATTTTATTGAAGAATGTGTGGTTGAAAATGATAATTGATTTATTGTAAAAAATGAGAATCTATACCAAACAGGTTCTTAATTTCGACCATACATTTAAAATCACTACTCATTATTATCAATAGATTTCATGATCCCCACCTTTATTTTTGTAAATACTAATAATCAAATCAGAACTAAGCTATATGACATTTATGTTGGTTTTTCCAACAAAATTACATTTTTTTCCTTTTTCATTTAGAAGGTTAATCCCAATCTTTGGCTAAAAAGCCATAGTATGCTAACGATAGTGAATTAGGTGCAACAAGAGCTTGTTTTCTTCATTACATTGAAATATGGCAACACTAACCTACAATTGATTACCACTAGCCTTTATTACGTAGTAAGTCGTGACCAAAATCGAGCACCTGGATGCCTATTTGTTAGATTGTCCACCTATACAAGAAAAAACTTCATAAAAATATATCTCAACAAATCTATAAAGAGAGTCCTATTAAAATATTCAATTTTTTTACTACCCAAAAAGAGTATATCATCAAGGTTGTCAGCCACATAAATTACGTTGTTAGACACCCGAGCAGAATCGCTAAATTTAATAATTCAAACGTGAGAATGACTTAATTGAATTATTTGTAAGTTCAGTGGCCATTTATGCTAAAAAAAAATAAAGTTCGATGACTAATGCAACACATTTTGAAAGTTGGGTGGTCCGTCAGCATAATTGTTTTTTTTTTTTAAAGAAAAAACTATAAACACCAAGAAAATGGGAAAATGACGCAAAAATAGACATAGACACGACAGGGCATAGGCTTCTATTTTGTAAGAAAAATAATGCTATGTGTACACAAACTTTCACACAATCTTTTACATCCCCCTCACATGAAGGGGGGTCCACACATAATAAAATAAGGACCGTGCTACATGTACAAAATGTTTTACCTAATGTCTTACAAACTGGACACTTGGCGCCCTCCTGCCACCTCCAACAGGAGGGCGCCAAGTGTCTAAAACATTAG